TCTCAATTCCTGCCAATGTGGTACCATGAAAGAATACTGGGAGACTAAGGAGATGGCTCAGTGGGTCAGAGTGTTTGCTGTAAAAACAACGGCACCTGAGTTCAGGACAGATTGGTGAAACAGAGCCAATGACAGAAAACAAGTTTACTGAGAAGGGGAAAGGCAGCAGAGCTAACATTCCTGAAAGAATACAGAAAGACTGGAAACCACAAAATAAAGGTGGTTAAACAAAATAATTCTTTGACACACCTCATTGATTCAAATTCACACATAAATAAAAACTTCCCAATCAAAATAAATATTTCTCTGTGTGTGTGTGTGTGTATATGTGTGTGTGCGCGCGTGCGCGCGTGTGCGTGTGTGTAGAACTGTAAGTGATAAATGGAGCTAAAGCTGTGTGTAGGCAAGTGTTCTGGACTTCTAAAGTAACTATTTATAGGATCTGGATCAGTAGAATGCAAATCAGACTCATAAGTCAGAAGGATGGGATAGGCTTGAAAAATATTACTATGTTGATTGGGACCTTGACTTGTTTCAAGAGTCAAACCTAGCATTTTACATGGTTGCAGTCATGTGACTAAGACCTCTATCAGTATCTTATTATGGGATGAAAAACAAAACAAAGCAATTAACTTTATAAAATCTGCCCCTGGACCAACATTCGGGCATGGAACAGGCATCTACACACTGGAGTGGTCAGTCTTCAACTTTCCTTTCAGCCAAATATACTCTGGTGAAATTATCTGTGATCAGGATATAAGTCTACCTTCCATATCTTGATGACCTCGAAGTTTACATTTCTAGCTTTACAGTTCTTCTTTGAACATATTTAGTTGTCCACGTGAAAGTTGCAAATAATAATTCTCCCTTTCGTGCTAAACCTGGTTCCTCCATGCTCACTCTCTGATTACCTCCACACTTAACTGCTCAGGACCACAATGGCATCATATCTCACCTCAGCTCTACAGTGGTCCCCATGATCTTACTGCAGGCATACTATGGTCTGTTCTGGGCACATGTACCTATGAGACATGGCCACTCGTTTCCTATTACTTGCTGGTTTGAAGTATAGAAGCCTCCCATCTATCTTGAACAAAAGCCAAACTTTCTTACAGTGTTTTTTTTTATTTTATTTATTTATTTATTTTCAATTTGATGTCTATTTGAGCTGTCTTAAGCTGTTCTACCTTACTCTTCTACCTCACCTTTCTGGACACTGGTGCCATGTGAATTTGAACATGCATGTTTCTCTTTCATTTGTTTTTAAATTTGAGCAGAAGGTGCTTTTCTAAAGGCCCACAATGCCTCTCATCAAACACTATACTTACCTATCTGGATCTAGTTCTATGTTTATGTCTATGTCTATATCTGTAGATAGATAGACAAATATCTTCAAACTCACTAATATTTATCTTCAAACACACTATTATACATATATTTATACAAATACATATATATATATATATATATATATATATATATCTTCAAACTCCCTAATATATGCTCAAACTCATTAATATACTATAAATACTCATTAATATTTGTGAGGCATTTCTGGTCGTTAGGATAACAATTGCAAATCTGACAATAAACGGGCTCTACTTTCATCTCATTTTTCTCCTTAACACTTTATGTCACTTCACTTAGTAGCTAATATACACATACAGTTCATTCATATGCGGTCTGTCTCTCCAGTGTCAAAATTGTTAAGCCTTGTGAGATCAGATATTTAAGAGAATGCCTTTAAATCATTCATTCACCACTATGTGCCTAGGAGTTTGCCAACTACTGCGAGGTTCTCTGAAAATATTTATAGTATGAATAAATGATATTTGAATCAGTGGAGGGAAAAAAATAAAAGCTCTTGTCACTGAAAATGAGCCTGTGAATCAAAACTTCAATGAATTTGAATATACTTTCTGCTAAGACAGCCAAATCAAAAACATTGTTTGGGGGTAAAAGGAAAATTCATTATGATACACAGTCTATGACACCATTTAGGTGAAGCCTGAAAAAAGAAAAAAAAATGATGTTGTGAATTATTTGGACACCATGCATATGTGCCAAAACTATTGACTATGCTAATAAATACTGAGTAAGAATGAGAAATGAAACAGGTTTTGCTTGGAGTGGGGAAGAGCGGGGACTGTTTGTGAATAAGCTTGCGGGATTTCTGTTTTCTCCGAAGGCACTGTACGAGACTGAATAAAACAAGCCTGTGCAATTCCAGCAACTTTCTGAGGAATGAGATATGAAGGGCAAACAGTGAGATACTGAGGTTCTAAGGTTAGGTGAGGTTGAGGGATCGAACAAAGACAGACTGCCTGAATAAAGCAGAGAGGGGGGTAATGGTTAACTCATGGGAGCTTTGCTCTTTCTGAAAACTATCATCCCAAAATGATAATTTTGCACGACGTTCAAGATACTCAACATCATCTTTTGGGATGTTCTGGCTGTTTCCAGTCACACGACTGGCCGCTTCTTCCAGGCTTACCAATGCAACCCTGAGCACTGGAGAGAACTTCGGAGCAGTTAGATGTACTTTCAGAGGATGCATCATCGTGTGTAACTTGATGGCCAATGCTGACTTGGAATCCCAGAGCTCTATTCAAATATCATAAGAATGAAGGTACTACAGCTTTCGTTACCTTTTGTAGCCTTGGAGGGAAATGTATTCTACTCCAGTGAAAATTTTAGACTTGGTCAGACATTCATCCTTTGCCTACCCATAGCTCCTCCACTTGCTGGGCTACCTAACGAGGAACTGATTTAACTCCAACCTTTAGTAGCCTCCAAACCCCAACATGAACAAATAGCTTTGGAAGGGGCTCTCTGTTAAGCCTTACTCATAGTAAACACTTTGTGAAAGTAGGACCCTTTAAAGCAAACAAAATCATTTATTAAAATGCATTTTGTCATGACTGGGATAAAATATGCTAATAGCTCACTGTGAGAGCAAGAATCATGCAGAGTAATAAATCACAGGTCAGAGACCTCTTAAAGCTCACTGCCTTACCAGCCAGTAGTACAGGTGCCCCTTCTCAACACTACTAAAGGGATGCTTGGTTTGCCTGTGGTGAGAGGCACAATGTCTTCAATAACCCGGCATAGAACGTCCTATTACACATTCATGCCTGGTTTTTTGTTTTGTTTTGTTTTGCATCTAGAACTTCCATCTTTATATCTTCCAATGTAATTTACCCCAATCTTCTAAAAACAATATGAATACTTCATGCCTGTCATAATTTTCCCAGACAAAAATTTCCTTTCTCTTGTTTTTTTTTTCTTCAACATTCTTTGCCCCTCTTTTATTGATTCTTTGTGAGTTTCACATCATGCACCCCAGTCCCACTCATCTTTTTGTCCCCTCATATCTACCCTTTGCCCTTGTAAACCCCCCAAAATAAACACACACAGAGAAAATACACACACAAATGACAACAAAGCACAGAAACTATAGTATGTCACAGTGTGTCCCACAGTATATCCCTCTGTACACACATATCTCCTCACAAATGTTCATTGAAATGAGCCATTGTTCTGTTTTGAGACCTCTGGCTTCTGCGATACCATCAATATTGGAACCTCAATGGAACTGCTCCCAGTTATCCTATTGCTGCCCTGTGTCATGGAGATCCCACAGCCTTGAAACAGTAGGATTGGCCCTTTCATGCATCTCAATTGTTCACAGATAGTGATTTTTGGGTGGACCAATTCAGAGCCCTGGATCTGGGCCTGGGTGGTAACTGAGGTGCTCATCTCTCTTATATGTACCACCAGGGTGAGTTCTCCAGCACTGTTACAGCTAGGCCACCCAATGCCATCAGCAGCAGGAGGCAGGGTCATCTCTCCTGCTCTTATACCCTCAGGCAGACTCACCTGCACCCAAGCCTCCAGAGCCAGCACCACTGTGTTGTCCATGCAAAGTCCAGGGCCTGCTTTCCTGAGTGCTACAGCCAGTGAGGGGCAGGGCCAGTTCTCCCACTCGAGTGATCCTAGATTCACCTCTCCCAGCTACTACAGGTTGTGGGGTGGGGGATAGGAGGCAGGGGGATGGTGATTACACTGGCACCAGCGCATGCCAGAGGAGTGGTCAGGCCAGGTCTTTCATTCTCTGGCCCTCAGGGCTGGCTCACCTGTACCTCCTCACCAAGGCCAGCTCTACTGTGCTGGGGAGTACCGAGATGGAGAGTCCTGCAGCCAGTGAGGGGCAGGGCCAGTGTCTTATTTAATGTCATCCCCCTACCTCCTTGCCTTATGACCCTAGGGCCAATTTTTCCAAATGCTGCAAATAGTGAGAGGCAGGGAGAGGGGAGAAGCAGGGGCATAGTCCCAGCACCCATACCACCTCAGAGCAGAGGAGCAGGTCCAGCTCTACCTCTCTGTCCTTAGAGCTGGCTCACCTTCTCCCCATTGACCAGGGCAATCTTCACTGTGCTGCCTGGGGGAGGCGCAGGGCCTGCTTTTCTGATTGCTACCACAGGTGCGAGGTGGGACCAGCTTTCCAGTGTCCCCAAATCGAGTGAGAGGCATAGCCAGTTACGCACAGCATGTGGACTTCCACGTAGTCCCTGGCAGCTACCCTGACCAGTAGCTATGTCTTCCAGTAGTAATATGAGCCATGAACATTGACACAGACCCCTGCTGCTGCCTGCTCACTATCGCCTCTGGTGGCAGTGCTCACCTCTCACCACAGGTTAGTCCTCTCCAGTTCCATCTCTCTTCATAATGCTTAAGATGCTTTACACTTCTCTGTCTCCCGTCTGACCACCACACACTCGCACATGGTGATGGCTCCTGCTGCAAACTGTCACACAGCCAGCAGCCCCCTGAGCCACATCATCCATCCATGTTTGTGGATTGGTGGTAAGTGGGTGTCTATGGCCCACTTGTGCCATGCAAGCTGGAGGAGAGGTCTGTGGGTGGCATGGCCTTCTGCAGGCTTCTGTCTGTCTTCCTCCTTCTATGCTGCACTGCCTACGTTTGATTTTATTTGATTTTTATGAGTCCTAGGTATAAGACAGCTTTGGCCACTGAGCCAGGCATCAAGCTAGGATGAACAAAGGACTGCCATCTACTCTGGTCAATGACTGATAAAAGAACAGCACCACCAGCAAGGTGTCTCTTTGCTTATTACCAGAGGGGATGTTAATGGTTTTATTTCTTCTTTTTTGATATATAGACTTTGCCTTTTGTATAAAGAGTCTATTCAATATTTAGAACAAAATTCCAACATGTTTTCTTTTTGAAAAATGTTTTGAGACCAAGTAACCATCAAATTAACCTCAACTGAAACAATGTGCATTTTTCAAAAAAAAAAAAAAAAAAAGAATATGGTGGTTTTTCCATAGTGTGTGGTTCTCTTCTGTCTTCAAGAAAATATCTCTTTGAAGTTAGCTGTGAACATATGACTTGTTGAACAGAAAAGTAAGAAAGGACATGGAGTTTGTGTGTCACTTCTGAGATGATGTATCTATCAGCTAATGCACAGGGAACCACATTGTCTTTACTTTGGAAGTCCATGCAGACTGGGGATGCTTCCAGGGAAAAGCAGTCTGGAATACTGAGCTACCGCACTGAGAACCTTTGTCTTAGAGATTTTCCCCCCACACAATAACTTTGTAGGGAGGAGGAAAAAAAAAACAGATGTGGCTATTAAAGTGGAGCAGTGTCTATTACCACACACAATTTACTCTATCCTGGGAAAAGGCAGACCTGAATTCAAAATGCTGGATTGCACTTCATAGCAGCATGACTGTTGAGATCTGAAAAATCATACCTCTCAGTTTCCGTACCATTACAAGGGATGCCACTGCTGCCTGCTTTACAGAGTGGACAGGTTAGTCTTGTTGTGGTTGCTGTTGTTCTTGTCGACTTGACACAAGCTGGAGCCATCTGAACAGAATAAACCACAACTGAGATAATATGTCCATCCCAGGCTGGCGTTTAGGCAAGTTTGTCGGCATCTTCTTGATTTTTTAAGGGAGGCTTTTTGTGGGTGGTGCTACCTTTGGGCAGATGGTCCTGGGTTGTATAAAAGGCAAACTGAGTGATTCATGAGGAGCAAGCCAATAAGATAAGCAGTATTCTTCCATGGTCTCTGCTTTAGTTTCTTCTTCCAGGATCCTGCCTTGATTTCCCTTAGTGATGGTCTCTGTAACCGACAATCTAAAATAAACCCTTTCCTCTCCAAGTCACTTTTGGCTACAGTCTTTATCACAACAATCGAAAGCATGCTAGGACACAGGGTTACCACAGCATAGTCAAGAAATATTTATAAAATAATAAATTGTTTATAAAATAAGATTCAGTAGTTGCTTATCATTTATCTGATATGTTCTTTACATGCAATTTTATGTCCCTGAACACGATGACTAGTACGAAAGCTTCGATGCATAGGCTTATTAATCTGAATACTTACAGAATAGTACTTATAAGACTATCCAATGAGGCTCTCAGCAAGGGACTCAAGATGTCCGAGTTCAAAGCTGACCCTGACATTTAGAGAAGTCAAGGGTAATGTGCTCTTAAATCATGAGCTGTACTTGAAGGGTGTCTCCTGTCTGTTCCATCCAGCTCTCAATGTATGCTACATGCCAGGAGTCCTTGTCCTCATTGCCTCTTTCCTAAGCAATTGTTCTGTAATTAACCTCAATAAGCTTCCTCCTTTTGTGTTTTTTTTTTCCATCTTCTTGTGTCTTTTAAATGTATCATTTAGGCAGCCCAGGGTCTTGGCTTGATTCAGCTTCTAGGATTTTTTTTTTTTTTAAGATTTCTTACACCCTGGCAACTTGCCACAGCCATCAGTATTAGCTATTTCTATTTTGCAGAACATTACTCTATTAATAAAATTCACATGTTTTTCTGTCTTGATTGCTGCTGCTCTCTGCCCAAGAAAATTATAAAATGCCATTATGAAAGAAGTGTCTTGCTCTGAACTGTCACAGATTTAATGTAGCCTTAAAGATTTTTTCAAATGTGTTGGAAAACTCCAATATGTCATGGAATGATTATGAATTCTGCATCGAAGGAGATGCTGAATCCATCTTGGTGCCTGTTTAATTTGAGAAATCTGTCTTGTCTAAAGCTCTTACATTATCTTAGGTTCAGATAACAATGATACTGATATCCTAAAATTAAGTACTCTGCAATAAACCTGTAACACACTGCCCAGTATGAAGTTAGGCCTGGAGGAGAATGTGAACACTTGTCATCATGCAAGTGACATTAGGTGAGAAGTAGACACAAATGGAGCCACACACAAACAGACACACATGCACACACAACCAGACTATTATCCAGAGAAAGCATGATCACAGCAGTCAAAGTACTTTTTACAATAAGCATCTTACAAGCATTAAGGCAGGCAGGGGAGGAAAAGGCTTGAGAATATAGGACCAGAGAACACCAGGTCTCAGAGGACCCTTAAGAGTAACCAACATTGCAGGGCAGAACTGAGATACCATCTGGACCCTGGAGCATGCATTCCACTTAGCTTGATGAGCAGTGTTACGTTATAACAAGAGGATTTTTCATATATGACCAATGAGGTGATTAGGTGAATGCAGCTGCAGGGTGCTTAGGGGATCGATATAGAATAGGTCAGGAGATAAGGGGACAGCAGACAGTTGCATCCATCTGAGAAAGTTTTTGAAATACAGAAATGTAGTTTTTAAAAAGAAATTTAGAGCTTTTTCTGCAGAGTGACATTGTGGCACAGTGCTTTAGTCTGTTTCCTGTGTCTGTTGTCTATGTAAGGGAGCATCAGATACAGAAAACGGGGGCATGGAGTTTCTTAAGGGTTGAAGGGAGTGATAATGGTAAAACTTGGGGACTTGAAGTAGTGGAAGATGTTCTCATTCATTGGAGGTAAGGGTGGAGCGCTTCATGAAACACTAACATATTTTTAAGTCAGCCTGGTGACTATAATATGCAAACAGGATTGAGACATAGTCTATCTTAGCCTGCTTTGACTGATTGCTAGGGTCACTTGAGGGGCCTATAAAGACACCAATATCTGCACATATCATTCCAGACACTCTCATTTAAGTGGTAGCCAGTTGAACCTATGAACGTAACCATTCAAAAGTTCTCCAGATGACTGTTCGTTACAGCCGGTTTGGGAAGCAATGAGCTGAGCACTGGTGGCCAAACATCATGTTCCCAATGGCATAGCTCGTGCAGAGGTGGCTGAACCACAGCCTCAAGGACAATACCAGAGGTGTGAGTGGGACCTGAGAGTGTATGCACCTACCACGTTCTTAGGTTAGGCTGCTACTGATCCCAGGAACTCAGCTTGGGAACCAGTGAAGTAAATAAAACTCAAAAAAAAAAAAAAATCCGTGAAGCGTGTCACTCTTCTTAGTATGTATCTCCATGAACCTCAGCCTCAGCTTAATTCAGTTCATCTTATTTCTTGACAACATTAGAACATGCACAGCTTTGTTATTTAGAGTTAAGGTGACTAGTGAGTCCATGCTGATGCTACTAGTTGAGAATTAACTCCTTCACTTTCCACCTTTACTCCCTAATATGTTTTTTGTAATTTCAGTTCTTAAGAAATATAAGAAAACAATTACTAAGGATTCTTAATTTGATCCTATGCAAACAGGAGTTAAGGTCCACTGAACTACAGTGAATGATTATTAAAAGTTATATAAACACAAAGGAATAGGAGGAACTCATAAAACGCCATTGTATAAATCATAATAAAATGAAAGTTAAGGTCATGTTGACCCACAGTGTTAAGGGAACACTGTCTACTAGGCACAAAAGGAAACAAATTGTCCCATTTTATTTGTCTAGTGGTTGCAAATGAAAGAAGATATTTTGAGGAACAGGATTAATAAAATATTAAAATAAAGAGGAAGAAAGGCTGATAATTAAAGGTGTACTGTAATTCAAACCAGGGCTGATTCTGCTTCTTTTTAATCATAGAAATAACATACCCTTCAGGATGTGTTCTCTCTCATTTGCCATCTCAAAAAGTAACGTAGCCAGTTTAAAAAGCCCAGCCCTCCGAAAGTGACTCACACTTTCACCTCAATTTTTGCCCTAGCCTGGCTTCTCCAGAGAATGTGGAAAGACGACTTGTTGGCAGGTGCACTGACTTCCATATATCAGGTCTTGGCCACCCCACGTCCATTGTCTTACTTCATGTCAGATTCTCCCAACTACACTCAGCTGGAAGTGAGTCAGAGAGGCCCCTGAAACAGTGCTGTCAAGCAAAGGCTGCATTGAAATCTTCCCCAGAAAGCAGTTAGGATTAATATGACTCTCAGTTCACTTCACCGTGTTTTTATCCAAAAATGATGCCTGTCATTGTGCTTGATTAATTACAAATATTCACATTGAGGTCTGGGAGATCTGATATGGGAAACTTAAAAATATAAAGAGAATAAGCAGCAAAGAATTTTCAAACAGAAGTAAGAGTTCTGTAAGTTTCACTAAATAGACGCAACAGTAACAGGGGAACCCTACAATTGTACTAAACATTTATATTTCAAATGTATTGCATTATTATTAAGATAATCCTGTAGAGTGCAGCATTATTCTGATTTGTCAGATGTACAAATTGCATTAAGGAGAAGCCTGGTATCAGACATACTCATTTTTGTTGGCAATAGGGCTGGGACAAGAAGGCACATATTTCTATTCTTGACTTTAATCTCATATTATCTGGAGAATATTATCTGTCAGAATATAGAAAGCAGAATATGAAATGCTATTCAATAGTTCTTTTTTTTAATTTTTATTTTTCTTTTTAATTACAATTTGTTAACTCTGTGTCCCAGCTGTATCCCGCTCCCTCATTCCCTACCCCTCCCCAACTCCCTCCCTGGTCTCCTCCCTGCCCCTTTCCAAGTCCACTGATAAGGGAGGACCTCCTCCCCTTTCATTTGACCCTGTTTTATCAAGTATCTTCAAGGCTGGCTGCAAAGTCCTCCTCTGTGGCCTAACAGGGCTGCTCCTCCCCTGGGGTGGGGGGAGGTCAAAGAGCCTGCCCTTGAGATCCTGTTAGAAATAGTCCTTGTTCCCCTTACTTTGGAAAACTACTTGGTTACTGAGCTACCACGGGCCACATCTGAGCAGAAGTTCTAGGTTATATCCATAGATGGTCCTTGGTTGAGTGTCAGTCT